ACTTGTGGACGGGGCCTTGGTTATAAAATTATGCTTATTATTACTACGCCCGCTTGTAATAAGATGTCAAGACCATTTGTCTCCAACAAAAATAAGAAACTGTTTTAGGAACCTAAATAGCCTACATATTAAGTCTAGTTCGCATTTTAAGAATTTTATAAGAGTTTTTGCATGTAAAACGTGTTGAACACAGGTTGTATAGTTTTTAACGAGAAACATCTACATTTTTTTTTGGTGAATAGGCCATCTTTCGTATAGCTATTGCAATTTGTAAAGCTAAACATGGGAGGCTATACAGCACTATGTTGTATACTGTTTAAATGGTTTGTAAACAAAAGAATGCTGCTTGCACAGGATATATGTAGCTCTAAGAGCATTGCGACCATTGTAGTAAAGATTTTTGTTGTTAGTACGACATACTGCACTTATTTTTGTGTCCTTAGTGGTTTTTGTTTATTTTTTTGAAAAAAAGGAGAGCTTGCTTGCAAGCTACAGATACCGCTTTTTAACAGACATTGGGAAGGGTCCCATATTTGTCCTTTTAAGCATAGGTTATACTGTACAACCCTTTTGTACCTGTTGGTACAATACATCAAAAGACAACGTCTTAGTAGGTGAAATACTTTCCTCAAACTAAAAGCATTACTTGTAATTCTCTCTTTCCACATCTTGTTCAATCTCAACCACACAACTGACCATTACAATGTACCAGATAACAGAGGGTATCTACATGTATTTGTCAAGGATTTTACATGACCAGGAACCACCTTTTTCCCAGGATCCTCTCCTACTCATCATCTTGTGAACGAGGCTGAACTAAGAACACCAACATAATCTTGATTTAATAAAAATCAATTGAAAACTATTCTAAAACAGCTAATAAAAGAAGGGCAAACACAGAAATAAATAAATCTTTATTTACAACTGAGAAGTTACGATTAAAAACAGTGGCAGATTAATTAAATAAAGTGACCAGTTTATATTATACAGAAGCATATTTAAAATCAAGTACAGCTTAAAAAATGCAAAAGTTATTTCACTGATATTTGTGATATCACCATTAGGGTCTGTTTGTTCTTTTAAGTCTGCTATTTAACTCTGCAACTTGTAATTCCACTTTACTGGGTAAGTCAGGGTTTGAAAAATACTCTGTAATAAAAACATAAACAAAAATATCAGTATTACAAAAAAAAAAAGTTTTTTGTAATCAGAATTCTGTTATTTGAAGATCACAGTCATGATTACACTACTTACCTTAAGATCATGAGAAAGCAGGGAATAATCAAACCATGTAACTACCTAAGGACGTACCCTGGTCCCAGAGGTTTTCCTTCAATTTTTTCTTCACAAAGGAAAGAGCGAGCTGCAAAGAGGGGAGGAGAGAGGGAAAAACCTTGTTTCTCTTCCTCCTCGCCGCTTTGCATCTTGCTTGCTCGGTTTTCAAGGAAAACCTCTGGGACCAGGGTACTAAGGTCTTCATTATTAAACAAATTCTCCTCACCAATATCACAAGAAATGTATGGGAGCAGTGAGAAAAATATGGAGGGTGATATTCAGCAATTCCTGGGTTAAGGCTCAGTATGATAAGAAGATTTATGCACATCTAGTCAGGGGTTTCAAACGTTGCCAACACCCAAAGCAAGATACTGCTAAAAGTTTGTGTTTGCGTCGGGGATTTCTTCATTGCAAATCATGAATTTTATAAAGCAGACACCCTCTATGAAGCGGACAGTAGCCGAAGTCCCCAAATTTATTTCCCTTCTTTACTTTAAATGAAATCTCTATTAAGCGGACATGNGCTCTAAGAGCATTGCGACCATTGTAGTAAAGATTTTTGTTGTTAGTACGACATACTGCACTTATTTTTGTGTCCTTAGTGGTTTTTGTTTATTTTTTTGAAAAAAAGGAGAGCTTGCTTGCAAGCTACAGATACCGCTTTTTAACAGACATTGGGAAGGGTCCCATATTTGTCCTTTTAAGCATAGGTTATACTGTACAACCCTTTTGTACCTGTTGGTACAATACATCAAAAGACAACGTCTTAGTAGGTGAAATACTTTCCTCAAACTAAAAGCATTACTTGTAATTCTCTCTTTCCACATCTTGTTCAATCTCAACCACACAACTGACCATTACAATGTACCAGATAACAGAGGGTATCTACATGTATTTGTCAAGGATTTTACATGACCAGGAACCACCTTTTTCCCAGGATCCTCTCCTACTCATCATCTTGTGAACGAGGCTGAACTAAGAACACCAACATAATCTTGATTTAATAAAAATCAATTGAAAACTATTCTAAAACAGCTAATAAAAGAAGGGCAAACACAGAAATAAATAAATCTTTATTTACAACTGAGAAGTTACGATTAAAAACAGTGGCAGATTAATTAAATAAAGTGACCAGTTTATATTATACAGAAGCATATTTAAAATCAAGTACAGCTTAAAAAATGCAAAAGTTATTTCACTGATATTTGTGATATCACCATTAGGGTCTGTTTGTTCTTTTAAGTCTGCTATTTAACTCTGCAACTTGTAATTCCACTTTACTGGGTAAGTCAGGGTTTGAAAAATACTCTGTAATAAAAACATAAACAAAAATATCAGTATTACAAAAAAAAAAAGTTTTTTGTAATCAGAATTCTGTTATTTGAAGATCACAGTCATGATTACACTACTTACCTTAAGATCATGAGAAAGCAGGGAATAATCAAACCATGTAACTACCTAAGGACGTACCCTGGTCCCAGAGGTTTTCCTTCAATTTTTTCTTCACAAAGGAAAGAGCGAGCTGCAAAGAGGGGAGGAGAGAGGGAAAAACCTTGTTTCTCTTCCTCCTCGCCGCTTTGCATCTTGCTTGCTCGGTTTTCAAGGAAAACCTCTGGGACCAGGGTACTAAGGTCTTCATTATTAAACAAATTCTCCTCACCAATATCACAAGAAATGTATGGGAGCAGTGAGAAAAATATGGAGGGTGATATTCAGCAATTCCTGGGTTAAGGCTCAGTATGATAAGAAGATTTATGCACATCTAGTCAGGGGTTTCAAACGTTGCCAACACCCAAAGCAAGATACTGCTAAAAGTTTGTGTTTGCGTCGGGGATTTCTTCATTGCAAATCATGAATTTTATAAAGCAGACACCCTCTATGAAGCGGACAGTAGCCGAAGTCCCCAAATTTATTTCCCTTCTTTACTTTAAATGAAATCTCTATTAAGCGGACATGGACACCTACAATGTACCTGAAATGGTCATTTTTATTATTGCCAACCTGTAATAAACGGACTCTTGTAATTAAATTCTACCACTCAACATGCCAGACACTGGAAATGCAAAAGATTGTCACCCACAAATTTTTCGATTTTCACATTAAAAAACGTGAATTGATGAACTTATTTGATTAGTTTCACTGTACAGTATTGTTTTCTATTTCTATTTTTCTATTTTGTATAGAGCTTGTTTCACTTGTCTGATTTCTTCAAATTTGAGTTGCAATCTATGTTTAAAGTACTATGATCAATTGGTCCACTTTAATAAAGATTACGATTTTGAAACGCAAATTTCCCTCCTTACATAAGCCCCTGAAAAAGGGCCTTTGAAAAATATAAGCCCTGGGGATTATTTTCGGAATTTTACGGTATTAGGCCCCACCCGTCCACAAGTATCTGGTGAAAACGGTCACTGAAAACGGATCTTTTTCAAAAACGCTCTCCAGAGTGGAGATTTTTTAAGACGCCGGCTTTTCGTTTACGTGTGGACGGACGAAAACGGAGGTTTTCGAAAACGATGATGTCATACATCATATAACTTCTAGCATGACGTATGCTCCGTAGGGGATGCTATCGTGTAGGAGCCCATTACCAGAAGCGAGCAACTCCCATACTGGGCCTATGTCACGGCATTTTTACGGACCTGTTTATTTTTGGGCACATTTTATGGGTTCCTGATTTACATCGTTTTAGCGTTTTCATGTGGACGAGCGAAACGATTCGATTACGCTGCGTAAGGATGCGTATATTTTTGAACACGGAGACAACATCTCCGTTTTCAAAAAATATCAGGATACTTGTGGACGGGGCCTTGGTTATAAAATTATGCTTATTATTACTACGCCCGCTTGTAATAAGATGTCAAGACCATTTGTCTCCAACAAAAATAAGAAACTGTTTTAGGAACCTAAATAGCCTACATATTAAGTCTAGTTCGCATTTTAAGAATTTTATAAGAGTTTTTGCATGTAAAACGTGTTGAACACAGGTTGTATAGTTTTTAACGAGAAACATCTACATTTTTTTTTGGTGAATAGGCCATCTTTCGTATAGCTATTGCAATTTGTAAAGCTAAACATGGGAGGCTATACAGCACTATGTTGTATACTGTTTAAATGGTTTGTAAACAAAAGAATGCTGCTTGCACAGGATATATGTAGCTCTAAGAGCATTGCGACCATTGTAGTAAAGATTTTTGTTGTTAGTACGACATACTGCACTTATTTTTGTGTCCTTAGTGGTTTTTGTTTATTTTTTTGAAAAAAAGGAGAGCTTGCTTGCAAGCTACAGATACCGCTTTTTAACAGACATTGGGAAGGGTCCCATATTTGTCCTTTTAAGCATAGGTTATACTGTACAACCCTTTTGTACCTGTTGGTACAATACATCAAAAGACAACGTCTTAGTAGGTGAAATACTTTCCTCAAACTAAAAGCATTACTTGTAATTCTCTCTTTCCACATCTTGTTCAATCTCAACCACACAACTGACCATTACAATGTACCAGATAACAGAGGGTATCTACATGTATTTGTCAAGGATTTTACATGACCAGGAACCACCTTTTTCCCAGGATCCTCTCCTACTCATCATCTTGTGAACGAGGCTGAACTAAGAACACCAACATAATCTTGATTTAATAAAAATCAATTGAAAACTATTCTAAAACAGCTAATAAAAGAAGGGCAAACACAGAAATAAATAAATCTTTATTTACAACTGAGAAGTTACGATTAAAAACAGTGGCAGATTAATTAAATAAAGTGACCAGTTTATATTATACAGAAGCATATTTAAAATCAAGTACAGCTTAAAAAATGCAAAAGTTATTTCACTGATATTTGTGATATCACCATTAGGGTCTGTTTGTTCTTTTAAGTCTGCTATTTAACTCTGCAACTTGTAATTCCACTTTACTGGGTAAGTCAGGGTTTGAAAAATACTCTGTAATAAAAACATAAACAAAAATATCAGTATTACAAAAAAAAAAAGTTTTTTGTAATCAGAATTCTGTTATTTGAAGATCACAGTCATGATTACACTACTTACCTTAAGATCATGAGAAAGCAGGGAATAATCAAACCATGTAACTACCTAAGGACGTACCCTGGTCCCAGAGGTTTTCCTTCAATTTTTTCTTCACAAAGGAAAGAGCGAGCTGCAAAGAGGGGAGGAGAGAGGGAAAAACCTTGTTTCTCTTCCTCCTCGCCGCTTTGCATCTTGCTTGCTCGGTTTTCAAGGAAAACCTCTGGGACCAGGGTACTAAGGTCTTCATTATTAAACAAATTCTCCTCACCAATATCACAAGAAATGTATGGGAGCAGTGAGAAAAATATGGAGGGTGATATTCAGCAATTCCTGGGTTAAGGCTCAGTATGATAAGAAGATTTATGCACATCTAGTCAGGGGTTTCAAACGTTGCCAACACCCAAAGCAAGATACTGCTAAAAGTTTGTGTTTGCGTCGGGGATTTCTTCATTGCAAATCATGAATTTTATAAAGCAGACACCCTCTATGAAGCGGACAGTAGCCGAAGTCCCCAAATTTATTTCCCTTCTTTACTTTAAATGAAATCTCTATTAAGCGGACATGGACACCTACAATGTACCTGAAATGGTCATTTTTATTATTGCCAACCTGTAATAAACGGACTCTTGTAATTAAATTCTACCACTCAACATGCCAGACACTGGAAATGCAAAAGATTGTCACCCACAAATTTTTCGATTTTCACATTAAAAAACGTGAATTGATGAACTTATTTGATTAGTTTCACTGTACAGTATTGTTTTCTATTTCTATTTTTCTATTTTGTATAGAGCTTGTTTCACTTGTCTGATTTCTTCAAATTTGAGTTGCAATCTATGTTTAAAGTACTATGATCAATTGGTCCACTTTAATAAAGATTAAATGCAAACGTATATCATCATAGCCTGTGCAAGTATTCTAAGCGTTTCCACTGTTAGTGTTCATTTGAATGGCATTTGACACCTCATATGACTTTATCTATCAAAACCTGAATTTGGCGGACACCCCGTATTAAGCAGACACTACAGCATTCCCTGAGGGTGTCTGCTCAATACAGGTTTCACTGTATTTAACAAAAAATATATTTCCAAGCTCATAAAATAAGATGTCTACAAAACATGTTTTCTCATTTGCACTTTCCTCTTGCACCAGAAGTAAGTAAAATCTTATGGTTTTCAGCTCAGTGTACACTCTAAAGAGAAAAAATATAGAAGGCCTGTGAACAGGCTAATGTGGTTGAGAAAGTACTAAAGAAACCTCACTCACTTGATGCATATTCTCTGACATTTTCTGGTCTTTCTTGCAAAATACTTCTGCAGACATGTGAAAGATAAAAAAGACCATCAATCCTCTTAAAATCCTTAAGGTCTGGGCTGAGTTGTTCAAAACTGAGTTAAGATAACCCAGGGTTAGTGCTAAATTTTGAATTTGGATATCAAAGCTTAAAAAGCAAACTCAGTTTTATTCTTTTTCTCTACAATTTGATGATTGGATGGTCTAAAAACAGTAGGAAAAACAATCCAAGAAAATGCTTTCTAACAAAAGAAAAAGAAACCCGCATTAAAATTTAACCCTGGACAAGTGCTAATCAGCCTTCCAACAGCTGGGCCCTAGGGTGTAAAGCCAGCTTTTCAGTTTGCTTGCAGTCTCATATTAAAGGACAAAGTGGACCGGAACCAAGTTGTTCAAACATTCGGTAGGGTTATCCACTGGACATTAATCATTATCCAGTATATAAGTTTTAGGGAAACCATTAATTTTGTGTTATCTGGTGGAAAGTGATTTAGCCAGGGTCAAGGTTTTAGCCAGAAGGGTGTCCAGCCGTCCTATGGACACCCATTTTTGGAAGAAATACAAGGAAAATTCACTTAATCTCTTATAATTTTATGGGACAACAAGCCTTCTGGACGGCCAGTTTTCAATGTCTGGCTGAAAGTCTGTCCAGGGTACAATGGTGATGTCCACCACTACAACAACTGGGGTCTAGTGATATACTCTGCTGGCCAATTTTTAAGTTAACTACAAATCATTTTTACTGTACGTCTGAATCATCATGCTGTTGGACCCAGCACTAAATAATAATAATTGCTTTTATTACATTCATTTTGTAATCAATTGTGATCCCCGCAATTAGATTCACACTATTTTTTGCTCTAAATCACATCAGTTCTAAATTGCGTCATTCAACGGTTCTAAATTACAACACTTCTGTTTTAAATCACACCACTTTTTGTTCCATATCATATCATTTCTGAGTTGTAAAAGCCTTTTTGTTTCCATTTTTCAAAAAATCGGCTACTTGATCAATGAACTGGTTCTGACTGAATTCTGTGATTTCAAACTGGCTATAATAAAGTGTTAATTGAACTTCGTGTCATGCAAATTTGGTCTGAAATCATACTTGACACCTTGGTCGGCTTGCCTCATTCGATTTTGTAATCACACGTTGTTTTTAGACCAAATTGCACTCCACTTAGTTCAATTACCATTATTTACCAACACAAATTATCACAACTTAATGTTCTCCATCTCTTAAAAACCCTCCATGAACAGGAACAAGATAGTTGTAATTTACTTATTATTAAACCAATATCAATACTGCACTCTTGATCAATTTTACTTTACAAATTTCAAATTTCAACGATTTAGCAAGTCAGGTAAGCCAGGTTTGCTACATTCGCAACTTTTGGTTTAGGACGTGAGAATTACAATATCATCAAAAGAAGCGCTGAGCACACGTTAAGCATGCAATTAGACACACGTCACGAAAGTATGAAACTTACTACTGTTGACTATAATTCATAAGTTCAAATACTTATCATCAAGAAAAAGTCGAGCAACAGCAAATCAAATGCGATAAGACTTCTTTTCATGTTCGTTATGCTACGACAAAAAGAGAAACTCACCCAAGAAAACCAGTCAAAAGACAAGAGACTTCTGGATGTTCCCTCAAGTATCTCTCATTTCCAAACCTTGTGTTGATCTATGGGCGTGAAAAATTGGAATAATAAAAACCGTCTGTCTCTTCTTAACCGAAAAATCTTGTTGAAGAAAACAGAATATTTACCTTAAATTCGTTGAGTTTTTCTTGCTGCTCAGGCGTAAGAGCTCCTGCATCGTTTTGCTCCATGCCATTTATACCGAACATCATCTTTTCCTCCATGTTTGTAATTTTTCAAATAGCCTGTATTTCTTCAGCTTGTGTCTGCAAATGGCTGTGTTTATAATCTTGTTATCTTGAAATGGCTTCCTTCATATGCCCTTAAGTCAAGACTTGAAACTTCCTTTCAAAACCCAGAGGAAACAGTAAAAACACTAACCTGTTTTGATAATTCCCTCACGTACGCGGAAATGTGAGTCGAGTTGCTTAGGAACCGCGTCAAAACTGATTATTTCTGCTTGTCCAGTCACGTGGGCGGGAAAGGCCCCAGGGGGGAGTCCATCCTCGGAGACCCAGGGGCAGTTAGTCGGGTCGATAAAATGTTGGTGGTGAAAGTTTTCTGTACGATCGAGACGAGCCCCTGGGCACTTACTCTTACCGAACCAGTTCCAGAAGCGTTTGAATTGCCTGCTTCTGATTGGCCAGAAAAATTTTTTTCTGGCCAATCAGCGAAGAGAAGCTGCNAAATCGTGGAAGGGTGGGATGTCTATATAGATATTTTTGTAGTCACTAAAACTTTACAAGAAGTGAATGCTCTTAAGGAAATTTCAGGGAGAAGAGACCAAGCAATAGGGACACTTTCCAAAGATCCAACTTCAGCTCTTGATTTCAAGGACCTGGGTCTCTGGCTTACTAAACCGCATAAGAGAACCTGGATTAATCTTCACTGTGATTAGAATTATGGCTAATATCGTAGAAATGAATTTTTATTACAAGATACATGTATAAAAGTAATTTCACATAATATGTGTTTTTTTGCCAAACTTTAATTTATCTATGATTGACTTGATGTTTCCCCTTGCTGACCCCCTCAAACACATCCACAGTGCCATTGTTTTAACTCCCTTGGAATTGATGGTACAAGATTGGACTTATTTTGAAAAAATAATGCTGAAATATTAACAAGTTTCCTTTGGTGCACTTGTTTGATATTTCATAACTTCCCTATCATAATTCTCCTCACCTGACAATAATATTCTTCATTGATAATTATTTTTAAATCTTTAAACACCCTCTTCAGAAAGGTAAAAATCTTCATTGCATGGTCACCATTCCACACAGTGTCTTTAAAATACTTTCCACAGAACATAACTTTAATATTACAACTATCAATTATTGTTTCGTGTAGAAGACAATTAGAGAATATAAATTCTAGAATACAAGCAGTGAAGATTTGATTCTTGAAATTCCTGTCACAGATCATTGATTTTCTTTAAGCAGACTAACAGTCTTTGGCACTGATGTCGCAACATAAGTGGCTTGGAATGATTCTGCTGTTTTCATTACTGTCATCAAAAAAGGAAGGAGTTTTTTCTCTTCCTACAGGTTGTACGCTTAATGAAATCTAAAAGAAGAAAGACTTTTAGAAATATCGAAAACAGTAAGAGACAATTTCAGCACAGTTCCATTTTTTCCAGAGTGTTGGAAAACAGTTTTTGTATGTTATGTGTAGATATACCATATTTACTTGTGTATAATGTGCACCCAAATATAATGCACACCCCATTTTCTAGACAGCTTTCAAATAATATACTCAAGTATACTTGTTGGCCACCTAGTAAAACAAACCCTTTGGGACAGAAAGAATGAACGAATTAAAATAAAATGAAATATTACAGCTCCCTAGTATATACATAACTCAAGCAGTATTATAAGTAGACATGTGAACTCCAATAAAAAAGTAAAAAAAAAAATCTCAACAGCTTAAAAATAAAATTAATGTAATGGCATCTGTAGTTCTGTATTATGGGGTGTTTTTCCATTTATAATATGTAAATGTTCAATTGCACTATTATCTTAAGCAGTCACAAGGCTTACTTCATCACCTTTCATTGTCATTAAATGAGGCCAAAAAAAATATGATAATTCTTGTGAAGTGTCTGTCAGCTTTTAGACATAAGATTACTGAGCATCCTTAAATAAAAGTCAGATCTACTGTTAAGTATAATGAGGGTCCTGAAGGGGGGATATCAATCCCATTGAATCTGTTTAACCCTCAATTCCCATTTTTTACATTTTTTTCCCATTCTCAGTGATAGAATCCCCCTGCCAGTGACTTAAATCCCATTTTTTCCAGAGCAACAACATCACATTTTACCCCTTCAGAACTCCCCACAATGAATTCAGTGTAGCAACCTTCCTAGTAAACAAATCAGCATACTTACCAATGAACAGCTGCATGTACCTGCAATGGGATTCTTCTGGTAAAACTCCTTAAACAACATTGCCCTGAATTTCTTGTCCCCCAGTTAATGATTCCGGGCTTCCATACAACAAAGAAAACGCTCCCTATCCATTCAATATTTCTGATCTTTTGTTTTGCTTTCCCCTAAGAAAGCGGCCTGAATTCTTAGTGACCTCGAGTACTTAACCTGGTCCGCAACAATTGACATGAGAGGTGAAATCACTATGACCAATGGATTACTAGGGAATTCGTAACCTTTAGCTTCGAACGATTTTTAAACCCCCTAGCTTATAGGCAACATCTGGAAGGTTAGACTCTTCTATCAATTGCTTAAAAACATCTCTTCTTTCCACAATCTTCACAATAATAAATCTTTGCTTCGCTTTGAGCTGTACCACAGGAAACAAAGACAAGCCTTCTAATTCTTCAAGCGCTTGCTGGAGGTCTCCCTCGAATCTAAAGTTAACACTACTATCAACTTCAGCAGAATTCGTACAGTCAACTGCTGTAAGCTTTTAAGCTTAAAAGTTTCGAAAGGAGTTTGGAGCCAAAGCAGGAAGAAGGCACTGCAGTTAGCCGGCATTTCCCACAATCAATCGACGTAGTTGCGTGGCCCGTGCAACGGAAATTTTCATGCTGTAGAAAGTTTTAGAAGTCGTGCAACGAACATGGACATCTAAAATGTAAGCTTGGTGTTGTATACTAGACAATGTGAACAAATTAAGGTGTGGAAAGTGAAAGTCATGCATCGCGTATCGTATCAGTAATAAAAATTTACGATACCTTGGAAAGATCCGCCCTAAAAATTCATCGGAGAGTGTTTGTTTCTTGTAGCGGTGCTAAAGGTTGCAATTTTGCGGGTTGTTAACATTTTGTTCTAAAACTTTCGTCGAGAAATTTTCCCCCGTTGAACGCGCTACGCAACTATGGCGATCGATGAGGAAAACTACGTCGTGTAAGAGAACACGAGAGCCACCCGGCAGCTTCTCTTCGCTGATTGGCCAGAAAAAAATTTTTCTGGCCAATCAGAAGCAGGCAACTCAAACGCTTCTGGAACTGGTTCGGTAAGAGTAAGTGCCCAGGGGCTCGTCTCGATCGTACAGAAAACTTTCACCACCAACATTTTATCGACCCGACTAACTGCCCCTGGGTCTCCGAGGATGGGGGGAGTCCATCATTTCATTTACATTTTGAAAAATATTTTTTTGTATTTTCATACCTATACATCATCACATAACATCTTCAACAAAGAAGATAGATGAAAGAGAGATTACAAATTAGGTTTATGGTAAACGGCAAATTCATGACGTCAGGAGCCGATTACCAGTAATCGGGCTCCTGTCAACGTCTGAAATAAGCAGCTATTTAAATGTGCAAAATAACCCTTTGGATGAAAATGACCACTACTAATTATTGGGTTTATATGATGGACCAGATGATGATGGACAGTAAACGACAAGCAAGGAGAAAACTTGGTCACGCCAAGAGCCGGGCAATTGGTTCATCGTCACGTGATGTAAATTTACGCTTGCCGTTTGCTAGGGGCTGGGTGATTTAAAAAGTAAACGAAAAGTCGAAACTGAACAGCTCACCCCAGCACGAAGTCTGTTTGCCATGCTTCCTGTTTGCGATAAGATTTTCATCGGCAGGAAAGTGATTTCGTGAGGGAAAAGGAGTTCCCTGATATAAATGACGGAGGTAAAGCACTCCTCCTCGGACTGAAATATATTTTTTCGCGGGCGTAGCTTTAACTCATTTTCAGCCTCAAGAATACTAGCTCTAAAACAACAAATCAATTAGCACTAACAATTTAAAACAGAAGATTGTGTTAAGTTTTAAACAACTTCTACTTACCACTGCGGCAAGTCTTTATGCACCTATCAATGTAAATCCCGTGGTGGGGAGGGGGGGGGGGGGGGGAGTGCGGGCAAGGGGCGGGGATTTGATGCCTGAGACTATCTCCCTGTCGGGCTTTTGATCGTGCGAAGCGACCCCGGGGTCGGGACATTTGACTTTGACCGATAGAAGCCTGGTATCAATTCAGAAGCGGTAACCAAGTCCGTCCCTCGAAGCTTTCTGAAAGTCACGTTATTGGAGAAAGTTATGAAGTTTTCATTTGTTTTAATCGCCATAATCCGATACTTTACACGTACACTGTCATCTAAACAGATAATGTCTATTTTGAGAAAGTTTTTATCTTCAAGTTCCCATCTGATTGTAAACCTCGATTGAAATCGAATTCTACCATGAAAGTCAGAGGATTTTTTACAGGTCACTGATCCGACCTGTTGGGCCGATGTTATAAAGCATTTTACGTTTCATTAATATAAGAGCACGGTCAATCTTCCTGGAGTGATTATGTTGTTCAAAATAAGAGATGCTAGTGGAGAGAAAAAAAACTTAATTACAGCGAGTAATTTAACGGAGCTTACGTTAACCTTAAATAAAAGTAGTAAGAACGTACTTTTGAAATGTTCTTTCATTCGTTTTATATACACCTTTTGCTGTTCATTACGAGAAAATACGCAGTCTTTTGCGTGAAACGGCGACCAATAGTGCGAAGATACATTCATAAGCGCGAAAATTCGACATTTGCGCATAAATCAGATTCAATTACGATTTTTGCATTTTAATCAACATTCAATAACACTTTTGGGCATTCATATGCGTCATTGGGCATACAAAAGAGAGAAATTAATATACTTTCATTAAGGCCAACATCAAAGTCATCAATACCATCTTAAAAGTCAATAGGGACAACTGACATACATTAAAGTGCAAACACTATTCATTAACATTTTTACGACACTGTTTGCAATTCAATAGCATTCCTGGACAACCTTAGGATGGATAAGACAAACATTAATGTGCTTGTACAATAAATTGAGTGTTCTTCACATTTAATACACAAAAATCGATTTTCAATTAAACAATAGAAATTCAAACAAATTTGTCCTGAATTTCAGTCCGTTAAATGTATATCCCTTAAAAACCTCGCTATTTAAACATTT